AATATGTTTAGAAACCATAACCAGATTTTAATTTAAGTCTCAACTGATAACTCAGTAACTTCAATTGATATAGTTCCCCTTATTTAGTCCTTCCGGGATAAAGGTTACTTTAGTTTGTGATCAAATGTGTGTCTTTGTACATAAGAGATGAGGTATACCCAACCTGTGGCTGTGGAGCAGTGGTCATTCAAGGATCCAGTCCCTTCCTTGGCTAGGTTACCACACTGTCCTAACTCAACAACAAATAATGCTGCCTACTTGCATTTTCCACTTAATAGGGCCGGCCGGCCGGCGTTCACTTTGTTTCTGCCACCCTGCCCCCTTTGCGGAGCGAGTCCGTTCCCTCCCCCTCCGAGGCCTCGTCTTCCCCTCAGCTGGTGGCCTGGCTCTCCCCAGACCCGGGTTGCTGTGGCTTTGAGCATGGAAAAACTGATACTCCTTGCAGGAAAAGTTGGTCAGCCGCTGAAGTGTGGCTTGCAGTCCCTAAAGAAGACTCGGTTGAGATTTAGTAAAAAGCAGCCGCGCTTGAGGCCCCGCCTCTGCACAATAAGCTGACACTAAGAACCAGAGGACTGGAGTTCTGGAGGTCTCTCTTTGCCTCCTAAGAAGTGCCGGGTTGGCGCTTTCTGCACTCACCTCTGGCTCCCCTGGGAGGGCGGGTCTGTTAAAAATTCATCCACACCGATGCCAGCGGTGTGCTTGGGCAAACCACCAAAAGGCTGGCTAATTTATGGGAATTTAACCCATCATTGGCTCTCAACAATAACCAAAGGAAATCATAACACTTCCTTGAAGCCAGAAAGCTGAAACAGCAGGTTTGTGTGGTTAATGAGCCTAGTTTAACAGTGAAGCCTCACGTGTTTGGATATTTACTGCCAACTAGAGTTTTGCCCCTTTTGCAAGAGACTGGTGCCAGCTTCCTACCGTTCACAGGCGTGCCGCTGCAAGGCTTTAAGCCTTTAGAAGCCTGAAGCGTTAAACCGCAAGATATGTTCGAATAGCCAGGATTATTATTTACTTAAATATATATGTGGTCTGTAACCTGGATCTTTTATGGTGAATTTATGGAACTAAGGCTAAATTAAATCTCATCCCCGTGAAGGACTCATGCATTTTGGAGGTGATAGAGGATTGTAAATGTGATCTGAAAAGCCAGTTGCTTACTTGAGAAGTTTTTGAGCCATTGGCTTTCTTTCATTGGTGATTTAGTCATTCAAGAAGCATTTATTGCTGGCCATATAGAAGAGAATATAAACGATGATGTGTCTGTCTTTCGTCTCTAGTTGAGAAAATGATAGAAAGATTTAAAACTTACAAGTTATTGATTAGGTTGTGCAAAGTACATATAAATGCCAAGGGAATGCAAAGTTAGGAAGTAGTGGAAGTCAGGATTAGTTAGGGAGGACTTTTAAGGAGCTCAATCTGGAGCCAGCTCTCCAAGGAAGTGATGGACATAGGCAGAGATGAGTCAGGAGGGTATTCCTGGCAGAGGAAGAATAGAGGAAAGGGGTGGGGGAGTAGAAGTAGGAAGGCAGCAGTCCTCAAACTGAGAGGCCAGAAGCCCAGCGAGGCAAAGTGATTTTCACTTTTTTCAAAATCACTGGTAAATATTTGGCAAAATATTAATTTGCAATTAAATGATTTAATGTGATCCAGTTGTGAAATTCAAGTGTCTCACCTTTATAATATCCTATTTATAAATCTTATTTATATCTCACTTATAGGTAGGGCTAGACATTACTTAGAAATTAGTATTAATAAAAGGAGTAAAATTATAGATTGTGGCTTGAGTGGTATATATGTAAAAAAATGGATACCTTAAGCGTATATCTTGAAATGGGCATTCGTAAGCATTTGCTTATTAATTCTTAGAGCCAGAATATTGAACGTAGTACTATTTATGTAGCACTCAGTGGTGATGGGCAGATATTTCAACTCTTTACACCATATTTTTTAAAAACCCAGTTTTTATTTAAATATAATTTGAACCTGGTAGTCATACCAATTAAATGAAAATCATCCAGTAAATGTTTCCCAGCATTCATTAGTCTAAAATGGGCCACATATGCTTTTAGGAGGGTTTACAAACAGCCGCAAAACATTTACTGAATGCCTTTTTACCTAACACACAGGTTCTACTTTATTTTCCCATTTTGGAAAAGACAAGCAGTTTTTGTCCTTATATGTGGAGGAAAGTATGAAATTGCACTTTCAAGCCAAGGGATATAAAAATAAAATTACTTAGAATAAGCAAAAATCACTGAAAACAGTGATTTAATTGAACCAAACTATTTAAAATTGAGAGCTGATGTCCCATCCAGGTAGGCCACTTTTAAAAGATAGATTTTATGCTTAGCTCTTAAAGTTTTGGAACTGTGTTCTCCTTTTATTAGATGTCTCAAAACTTGAAAAACTGCCTTAACGTAGCACAGTGATGCTCTTTTGTGGTGTGGGCAGGGAATTTCAAGCATGCCCTTGCCACCCCCAAGCAAAGGAAAGCTGTAGTCTCTGGTTGCCTGTGGTTAGGGAACTGAGCTAAAGGGTTCCTTTTTATCTCATGGATTTGTAGGGATTATTCATTTATCCATCTAACATTTATCCAACTCTACCATGTACCAGAGACATTTGAAGATACCTAATTCCTGCTCTCAGAGAGTTTGGAGTTGAGATAAGAAATAAGTACAGCAAAGGGCTAAAGCAAAGGACTGTTATAATAGAACTCTGGAAAGGACACAGCACAAGGGAAGGAGAGATCTGTAGATAACCCTAGTGGGGATCGGAGGTTGAGGATGCCCAGAAAAAGGTTGATGGAGAAACTGAAGCTTGAATGGAGCCTTCCCCTTAGAAGAGAAAGCTGCCACCGGTGAAGACAACACAAGTGAGGAGACATTAAGAAGGTATAATGCCCAGCAAGGACAGAGTTCAAAGGAGGTCTTCGTGGTCAGACAGACATGGGTTTGTTTCTGGCTACTAGTTTGTAGCCCCTAGGCAAGTTACTCAACCTTGCCAAATCTTAGTTTCTTCATCTATAAAACCAGGATGGAATAATGCCTCCCTCAAAGTTATTATTCATTTGACAATTTACGTGCTGGGCACTTTTTTAGGGACTGGAATATAGCAGTAACCAACAACAACATCAGCAACAAAAATACCAAAGCCTGAATGAGAAAGGTAGGATTGGGTCAAGAAGGTGTGCTTTGAGTTAACGAAGACACTCTCAGAATAGCCAGGATAACAAGTTGTTAAAACCCAAGGCTCCATTTGACTTGTAAGGAAATACATAATAAGAATAAGAATTATTTTAGGTGAACAGGTTAAGAATGAGTTTGCATTTCTTGAGTGCCAACACCTTTTTCTAATCTTATTTTCCTGTATTTCTGACTCCTCTGATATGGGCCAACTTTTTTATCCTTAAATTTTGCATTTAGTTTCCAATACCTTCGATATTTCCTCTTCCTTCACACTTACTAAGCACCTTAAAACTTGCTATTAACTGTGTACCTACAGTTTTGGCTAGTGATGGTTAGCATTGATATTAAGATATGCAGAGATACACAGATTGTAAGCATAAAGGGTGACTACTTACCTTTCAGATATTATATGTTGAATTTATTGTATCCTGTGTGCTAGAAATAGGGTCTATATAGAAAGCTTCTAGAATTTATATTTTTAGGACTATAAAATTGGCTAAATGAACATGAATTAGACTACATATCAAAAAGTGTTTCAGAGAAGGTTAGGAAAGACTATTGTATAAAGTGTCCTACTTAAGGTTTGATATTTGAGAAAAGATCAATGTTTTTGAAACAATTCTCTGTGTAATATTGTTGGAAAAACATCTTTTATTGCCTAAATATGATTCTAAATGTATTGTTATCGAATCTACTGAAAAAAAATGGTTCACTGTATAGAGGAAGTGGATTGACATGAAATTCAACTTCAGAAATAAAAATAATTTTTGTTTCTAGAGTGGTTTGAGATTTTGAGTGTCATATACAAAATGGTTTGTGTGTATGTTAGAGGATATGTGACAAATACTGCTGGTATTATTAGACTACTAAATTAAAGAAGCCAACTTGAATTTGTACATTGCCACTTTCTTCATTGTATGTTGAACAAGTTGAGAATCTCCTAAGGAAAACATTTTACATTTACTTTGAGACTTTGCATGTATATTCATTAATCTAGCTCTTAAAGAACAATTGTCAGGATATTTGTTTCTGTGTTTTTTTGTTTTGTTTTGTTTTGTTTCACTAGCCTCTTTGTTTCACTTGAATGATTACACATGTTTATTATGAGTAGCTATGTCTTTGTAACCAGATTATTTCTTCTAGAGCCCCTTCATGCTAAAAGATTCTCAAATTATTATCAAAATATTGATTCTAACACAGTAGTTATGAAAATTTTAAGAATATTTTTAGAAACCATAACCAGATTTTAATTTAAGTCTCAACTGATAACTCAGTAACTTCAATTGATATAGTTCCCCTTATTTAGTCCTTCCGGGATAA